ACATTAGGAGTGAAAAAACAAACAAACAAACAAACAGCTTTTGGGATTAGAAGTGATTAAGATAGTGCCTTTTTGTTTGTTCTTTTGTATTTCAGTAATTAGCTTATTCTTTGTCTTATACTTATTGCTATGCTTATGTCGATGCTTATGCAGCATGCTTGACGATCATACCTTCGTATTTCTTTTGTTCTCGTCTTATGTTAATATTTGTGTCTTAGTAAAAACCAAGCTTTACAGCATTATTGTGTTATTATATTTCATAAAATTGCACGCCATGGTCGCCACAAAGGACACACGATTGTAAGTAAAAAAAATGTGTTTTTATTGGATTATCACCCCGAGAGTTTTGACACTTTAATTTGACTAAAAGACTTTTCATATTACAGTGCTATATACATTCTTTATTTTTTTGGTAATATGTGCCTACAAATTATACATTTTTTTATATATACAATTGTTTAATTGATATGCATGGAAAACAGTTGACGTCCACCATATTGTATGGTATTGTACCTGTAAGGTAATTAGTTAAAGGTATTTCTGTCAAAACTGAAAGGACGGAAGACGATTTGCGCTCAATTTAAGAAATCCTACAAATCCGCCATTTTCGTGTCCACCTAAAATGGCGCTTCGGTTCGCAAGGTACGGCGGGTGGTTATGATTCTTTAAAAAGAACACACACAAAAATAACACACCGTTCTGGACCAATGACATCCTCGGGAACCCAGGGGTATTTTTCTGTCGCTCGTTCCTCACTCCCCTATAAATATACCCCTCAATTCGAAATTCAAAATGGCGGCCGGTAAGTTAATCAACCAATCAGGATGTTCGAGTGAATCACTCGACCAATCAGAAATTTACTGACCGCCATTTTGAATTTCGAATCGAGAACAAGGTCTAACAGAATTCGCGCCGAGGGTATTTTTTCTGGGAGTGAGAAAAGAATGATAGAAGATTGTCCCTGGGTTCCCGAGGTTTGACCAATCCAAGACCTCGTAATATATAACCAAATAAAATTTCGAGTATTTGCATGCAAAAAGATAGAGTGAAGTACATTGTGACAAGATCTGTTACGGATTNCCTAGACTTTCTTTGAGTTTTCACCTCGTCTACTATGACGTATGTCTGGAAATGACGTATTATTTTCAAGATACCGGCAGAAGGTTTCTTATCACCATGCACTAGCCTAGCGCACGTAGATGTTCCCGTGAGGGTTTTGCACATTTTTCAGTTGGTTTGGTTGGTTTTGACTACAAGGATCGTGAGTAGGCCAGTTATCTGCTGGATTGGTTTCGAAGTAAAAGTAAAAATGAGCGTTCATGGTGGACATGAAACAGCCGTTGTATCTGCAAGAAAATTTATCAGGGATCACAGAGCAAATAGAGGCAATTTGTTTGATCATTCGGCATTTCATAGACCCGGCTACGCGCAATACAAAACTGCCAACATCAGGTAAGCAAGCGATCCAATTATTGATATTTGACTTCATGAATACTTCGCTGCCGATCTGCCGCCATTTCAAAAAGTCAAGCGCATTGAAATCCGTCGGGGTTTTTGGAGCAGTTTCTGAGATATTACCGAAAGCATTCACATAATTTTTAGGGGTTGGGATTACGACATTAGCAGCACTTTTGAACCTATTATATAGTGTGAACGTGTATGCCCAGACCAGTGTCCAGCCCCCTCCGTCTGTTTCCATGTCACAGTAAGCGAGAAAAGCGTTGCTAGGGTCAGCTTCATCCGGGTCAATCCAATAGCTGGCCGATGGGAAAGAAGGTCGCTTGTTCTTTAAATCGAGGCAGGTTTTGGCGGGTGTCAGAGCGCTTTTTCCAATTTCTTTAAGATAAAAATGTGTAATTAGTTCAATTTTTGAATATGACTATGTCAAGGTATCAAGGAGTAGAATTTTAGCTGAGTTTAAATAAATAAATAAATCGACTTTATTTTACGAGGGTAACACGTGACAGTAAAGAACTGATGAACTTGTGGCCCTCACACTCACACTCACTACCTCTACATTAATTATTTTAGCACACAACACTCCTCGCATGTTGATTTTTACTGAGGGAGGAAAACCGGAGGACCCGGAGAAAAACCCTCGTGGCAAGGGAGAGAACAACACATCAAACAAACTCAAACTCACATATGGTCCGTGCCCAGGAATCGAACCCGGACCACAGCGGTGAGAGGCCAGTTGCTTAACCACTAGACCACCCTTGCCACTTTTAGATATGATTGCCATGTACTCGACTCAATTCACAAGAAATGCTGTGAAAAATGAATTTTTATGAATGAATCATTGTTAACTGAAAAGGTGAATAAAGATGCCCTGATTACAGTGCACAGGTAGCCCAAGCACTACACTTGTCGGCTTTTCTCTGAAGGTCTTGTGGGGAAAAACGAAAAATTCAATAAAAGTAGGAAATCTTCATAAAATGAATTTAAACTCACACAATATGTTGTTCTTAATTTATTACACATCTATGCGAAGTTTCAGCTCTCTGCAGTCAAAAAAACTGCTTTTTTTCTTGATGTTGGTCCCCTAGATAATAAATACTACAAGGTTGGTAACTCCGAAAAGCGATCTTCTATACACGGTTTAAATGATGGCCTGAAATTTTTGAACATTAGTGACGCACGGGGATACATTGCTGAAAAAGCCGTACCCGCCATTTTGAATTTTACCCATAAGGCTGAGGCCTTAATGATCGAATTATTTGCCGGGGAGATTCCAACAGTGACATTCTAGTTTATGCAATTGTCCATAACATGCGAAGGTCTTTTAAAACACTTACATARACTAATCGTCCTTATCGTGAAAGGTTTGCTCTTTGTCTATAAGTGTGTAACTAATTTATAAAATATGAGGCGAAGGAACTTAAATGAAAATCAAAGACGCATCACGAGAATTTTATATTGATA